TACAAGCCTTGACCAGGTGTCCGACCGTCAGCTAACGCCCTCCCAGAAGGGAGGTTGGCGTGCCCACCCTCGCTAAGGAGTGGTTCCCATTTTATCTACTCGCCGAAGCTTTCGAATCGCTGGGTGGACAATGAGCTGGGGACAACAGGCTGGCTGCTCACACCAGCACGGGGCTTGAACTAACACAGTTCAGATGTTAAGACAGTGGGATATACCCACTGTGCCACCGCTCCCCTATTCCATAAAGCTGAACATTTGGTGCCATGGCACCAAAAAGCTGTTTAACCACATCGCCTTTGTAGATTAGCATCTTCTTTAGAAAAGCTCAAAGTTTCGTCCACTGGGGAGACATTTTTGTGGTGCCTCAAAAGGATGTGGCTTTGGCAGGCAGCTTCCTTCATTTGCTTCTGGATGATCCCTCGTTTCTCAGTGTGGATAGTGGTCTGCAGGGGGTTTTTTTGGGGGGAGGGTTTAGAAAAAGAGGTGCTGGAACTCTCAAGAGGGAAATGAAGTTTTCAGTGTGTATACTGAAAAACCATGAACTTCAAATGAAGTTTTCAGTGTGTATACTGAAAAGTCATGAACTTCTAAACTTTTTAAAGAGAATTTTGTCGAAGAGGTTCCGGAACTCCATTCCGACGCATTCCCCCAGAAAAAAAAACATTATGACTTTGTTCTTATACCTTCTTTCCATTTGTACCACACTTCTTCTGCTGTGCAGACGGTCCTCCACAGCAGACCGGGTTCCTCTTGCACTAGAAACTTTTCACCTCCTTGAAAGTTATTGGTCTTGTGTGAGCAGAAGTATCTAGCAGTGGAGGAACACGTGCTCCACTCAGGGGTCATTTCCTGCAGGAGCGCACAGGAGCGGAGCTCCGGCAGTAAAGAGCCCAGGGGGCGGGCACATGCAACAAGCCCCGCCCCCTGCTCCCAGCAGCCCTCAGTCAGAGCAAGAAGCAGCCAGGTAAGCTGCAGAGCTCCCCCCTGCCCCCTGGTCCAAAACAGTCCAGTGGCACCTTTAAGACCAGGTTTTATTCAGGTACAAGCTCTCCCTCCTCCGCTGCGAGGGCAGATCTGCATGCCCCCCCCCCAATAGCTAGCAATCCAAAAGAGTCCAGTGGAGCCTGAACGGTGGGTGTTACTTTCTGACACACTTCCGGTGATGTCAGGGGGTGTGACATATGCAAATGAGTGGTGCTAATGAGTTATGCTAATGAGCTCCTGCACCTCTTTTTCTACGAAATGACCCCTGGCTCCACTACAGATCACCACCTCCACAATGGATGCAAGGGAGAACAAGTGGAAACAAGGTATAGGATCAAAGCCCATAACTGTCATGTTCATCTTCTTGGTGAACATCCCTTCCCTCTACCATAACAGAGTCCCTTTCATAATATTTGGTGATAGTCATGGTCTCCACTTGAGTAGAGTCGAGGGAACATAAGACTGACAGACCATATCTATTCCACCATATATTTTTGTCTAGATTATTTATTTTATTTTATTTCATTTCATTATATTTATACCCCGCCCTCCAGTGATTAAGTAATATCAGGGTTCTCTAGCCTTGCAGAGCCAGGGGGCACCTTTGGAATTCAGACCCAGGGCTGTGGGCACAACCACAAAATGTCAGGATCAGGGTTACATAGAACTCTAGTAGTATCTCCTCAACATTTCAGGCACAAGCCCTGTTTAGCAGGATGCCTTTTAATCTTTTAACAGGATGCCTTTTAAGCCAATCAGAAGCCATGCCGGGCAAAGCCACAACTAACCCTGCCCACTTTCTTACTTAGGGGGCACCAGGAAGAGCCATACCACATTGGGGACCCCCAAGTAATATGTTTAGTTGGGGGGAGGTTGGCAAATTGTGTACATTCTATGGATGTTAAGGCTAGGATTGTCAACAGGCCTGGAGGGGAAAGTGTCCTGTCCCTTTAATAGGGGATTAATTGGATGTTATTTACCAGGTGGTATTATTTACCTCTGTGCCATCAACTGGCCATTTCAGCACATAAACCCTTTATTAAAGGGGCAGAACATTTTTCTCCGGCCCTGTTGGCAACCATAGTTAGAGTACTCCAGAGAATCAAAAGCTTGAACGTGGGTTTTATTCAACAAGAAGGCAGGATATGATTATTCTTTCTTTTTTTTAAGCGCAATGAAGGGTTTTTTTACTACCCTGTTAATGAAACGTTTCCTTTTTCTCCTTGCCTGAAACAGAGACTATTTTGGTAGCAGTGAAAATTGACTTTGCTGTGAAGTTTATATCATGTTTTTAAGTCTATATTTAGCTTATATGGTTTCCTACTTTGATCGCTTGTCATAGTAAAAATATAAATAGAGCATTAAAAATGCTACATTTAAATAGCATCCAGAATATGTAACAAAGTCAAAAGCTTTGAATTTCAGTGTGATAACACTGCCACTTCATCCTTAATTTATGCTGGGGGGGGTTGGTGGGTGATGCTGCATTATTATGAGCAAAGGATGGAACATCCACTTTACCTTTGAATTCCCTGGCTTTTAATCCCACTTTGATATTTAACATCAGGTTTCAAGAGGGTATGTTGCTTGTTTGGTTTCAGGCTGCAGAGAATATAAATAGTCATCTTAGACTGCTGTGGGAGCAGCAGCAAAGATAAAAATTTGCACTCTTTTGTACAGCAGTGTCTGAATGATATCCTACATACATAGGTCATGACGCGTTCGGGATTTTTTGGGGCCGCCAAATAGCTGGCATTAAGGGGTGTTTAAAGGGATTGCCATCTCTTTAAACACCTTCTGGGTGAAGCCGCAGCTTGGAGAAGGCATTTAAAGGGACTGCATTCCTTTTAAATGCCTTTTCCCCCCCTCCATTGAAAACAATGGAGGATGGGATCACCTTTTTCTGGAGGCATAGAACTGGACCCCTTGGTCCAATCTTTTTGAAACTTGGGGGGGGGGATTGAGAAGAGGAACAAGCAGCAATGTGCAAATTTGGTGCCTCTACCTTAAAAAATAGCCCCCACAGAGCACCAGATACCCCCGGATTGATTCTGCATTATACCCTATGGAGAACCATTGACTACAAGGTCCCCATAGGGTATAATGGAGCCAAACTTTTTTTTGGCAAGCCTGGATATTTACCAGATCTGAATACCATATTGGTATTTGGGAATATTGGGAAATACCTATATTTTTTTGGTTCAGTATACCCAAACCCAAAAAATACCGGGGGGGGGGGGGGGCGAAAACCAGCCAGAGAGA